GACTCCCATCCAACAATGAGAGATGCACTCTCACCCTGAACTCTTGGAGGAGGGTCTAGGCCCTGCCCTGGATGAAATGACAGACTATGGACACCCCCATGGAGGGCCTCACCCTCCCTGGGGAAATGACAGGATATTGGGAGGGTTGGGGGGGAGGGCAGGCGAGGAGGAGGGGGAAACGGAGAGGGACCTGGAACTGATTTGTGAAGCAACCTTGTTTCTAATTTAAACTTAAATTTAAAAATAAATAATAAAAAATGTAACTTTGAAAGCCAGAAAGTCCTGGATAGATGTTGTACAAACACTGAGACCAGCCCAGACTACTATACCCAGCAAAACTCTCAATCACTGTAGCTGAAGAAAACAAGATATTCACAAAGAAAACAGATTTACACAATACATATCCACAACTTCATATGGAAAAATAAAAGACCCAGGATAGCCAAAACAACCCTATACCATAAAGGAGCTTCAGGAGGCATCACCATCCCTGACTTCAAGCTCTATTATAGAGCTGTAGTACTGAAAACAGCTTGGTATTGGCACAAAAATAGACAGGTAGACCAATGGAATCGAATTGAAAACCCGGATATTAACCCACACACGTGTGAACACTTGGTTTTTGACAAAGAAGCTAAAATTATACAATGGAAAAAAGAAGGCATCTTCAACAAATGGTGCTAGACATAACTGGACGCTGGCATGTAGAAGACTGCAGATAGATCCATGTCTATCGCCATGCACAAAACTTAAGTCCAAATGGATTAAAGACCTCAACATAAATCCAGCCACACTGAACCTCTTAGAAAAGAAAGTGGGAAATACCCTTGAATGAATTGATACAGGAGACCGTTTCCTGAACATAACACTAGTAACACATGCACTGAGATCGACAATTAATAAATGTGACCTCCTGAAACTGAGAAGCTTCTGTAAGGCAAAGGACACAGTCAACAAGACAAGACAGCAGCCCACAGAATGGGAAAAGATATTCACCAACCCCACATCTGACAGAGAGCTGATCTCTAAAATTTACAAAGAATTCAAGAAGTTAGTCTCCAAAACACCAAAGGATCCAATTTAAAAATGGGGTACAGAACTAAATAGAAAATTCTCAATAGAGGAGTCTAAAATGTCTGATAGAAACTTGAGAAAGTGTTCAACACCCCTAGTCATCTGGGAGATGCCAATCAAAATAACTCTGAGATACCATCTTAGTCCTGTCAGAATGACTAAGATCAAAAACACCAATGACAGTTTATGCTTGAGAAGATGTGGAGAAAGGGGAACACTCCTCCACTGCTGGTGGGAGTGCAGCCACTTTGGAGATCAGTGTGGAGATTCCTCAGGAAAATAGAAATCAGTCTACCACAAGATCCAGCCTTTCCACTCTTAGGCATATACCCAAAAGATGCACATTCATACAGTGAGGACATCTGTTCAACTATGTTTATAGCAGCATTATTTGTAATATCCAGAATCTGGAATCAACCTAGATGCCTCTCAACTGAAGAGTGGATAGAGAAAATGAGGTACATTTACACAATGGAGTACTACTCAGCAGAAAAAAAAATTGAAATCTGTAGGCAAATGGATGGCCCTAGAAGAAACCATCCTGAGTGAAGTAACTCAGTCAAAGAAAGACAAACATGGCATATACTCACTCACATATGGATTTTAGACATGGTGCAGGGGGTTGCCAACATACAATCCCACTGCCAGAGAGTCTGGGAGAAAAGGAGAACCCTAAGAGAGGTATGCATAGTACCCCGGAGAAGGGTAATAGGACAGGATCTCCTGAGGGGATTTAGAGCATGGGGGAGGAGAGGGGAGAGGGAGCTGGGAGAAAGAGGGGGAGAAGAGGAGGGGAGAGAAGGGTGAGGGGGAGCAGGAAGGTTGAATTAGGGGAAGAATAGAGGAGAGCAGATTGAGAGATAACATAATAGAGGGAGCCACTATAGGTTTGAGGAGAGATCTGGCACTAGTGAAATTTTTAGAGATCTACAAGGATGATAAAACTGGCATCCAGGCTACCTTAAATGCCCTCCCCTGATAATGAGATTGATGACTACCTTATATGCCATCCTAGAGCCTTCATCCAGTGGCTGATGGAAGCAGAGGCAGACACCCACAGCTAAACACTGAACTGAACTCCTGAACCCAGTTGCAAAGAAGGATGAGCGATGAGCAAAGGAGTCAAGTAAGACCCACAGAGGCATATGACCAGAACAAGGTGGAGCTCATGGACCCCAGACTGGGGACTGAGAGGCCAGCATGGGACTGATCCAGACCCCTTGAATGTGGGTATCAGTGAGGAGGCCCTGGCAATCTATGGGGTCTTGAATAGTAAATCAGTATTTGTAACTGGCATACAAATGGGCTTTGTGAGCTCATTCCACAAAGAGGGATGCTCTCTCAGTTTGGACACATAGGGGAGGGCCTAGGCCCTGCCCGGGAGGATATGACACACTTTGAAGATTCCCCATGGAGGGCCTCACTCTCCCTGGAGAGTGGACAGGGTGAGGAGGGGGTTGCAGGGCTGAAGGGGTTAGTGGGGGGTGGGGGAAGATGGGAGGGAGAGGAAGCTGGGATTGACATGTGAAGCAAGCTTGTTTCTAACTTAAATAAAAAAAGCATATAATAGATGCAGAAAAAAACCAAACAAACAAAAACAAATAACCAGCAAGGATTTATACATGTTAATTCACTTGCCAATACTCTAGGAACTTAGTAATAATTTAAATGTAATATGAAAACTAATTATAATCATAATCTATTCTGGAGTATTAAATAAATGTAACAAAAGTAATAAATGACAATAAAATTTTAAAATATTATTACTCAAATAGCACCTAACAAACTAAAAAAATCTCACATTTTTAAAATAATTATCTAATGAATGAAGATAATTTGCTTGACATTTGGTGCCAAGAGGAGGGAGATATAGTCTCAAATATTGATGGCAAAATGCAGAGAAAGAATTAACAAAGGCAGGTGTGTGAAAACAAACCTGCCATATAACTACTAATATTTGCCCCAAAGCCTTGGCCAGTGTGCTCTCTTTTCCCCCTAGACACTGAAAGTTAAATAGAGGGCCTGCTGGAGCCAGCTGCAAAGACAACATCTGGTTGGATTTCCTGTTTAAAATTGTGCAGTCCTAGCAGAAACCTGTGTTGCAACCATTCTTAATGTGATATGTGTGCACACCTTCTGATAAGTCAATGTAATACTTTTTCTAAATTTTATTGAATATTTTGCTCTACAATACCCCCTCCTTCCCTGCCTCGCACTCACATCATTGATGAGTGAGCAAATGGTCCATTGTGCCTTTGCTGTCTTTAAATTCTACCAGCAGGATTTTTGAAAACCACTTTCCTAATACTCATTTTCCTTCTCTGAGTTCATATTTGTTGTCAGTAATGAAGAGGAGTTGAACATTGTCCTACAGAAGGCATCTAAACAGTGAAATCAGGAAAGGGATTACTATTCCAAGAACACCAGAGGCACCAACAGAACCTATGATGCACCCCCACCCCCAGAACCAAGTGGGAATCAAATGTGTCCAGCGCTTTGTTGAATTATTAATAAATTTTAATTAAGTCATTTTTCAGGTGGGTTCAGCAAATGTTTGATTTGTCAGAATGTAACAAGTGGTATCAGTATACGCCAGTTTGTAGGGAGAGGTGACTCGCTCGGCAAACTGGAAGGGAATTATGTCAGCAGCAATAGAAGGCATGGCAACCCAGGGACCTGACAGAACTGATGACAGCCACATGGACAGAGTGGTGACTGCAACATGCATAGGTGACCCTAGACAAGGTCCTCTTCACCCTGCTCCCACATCCTTGGTCTACCCTGAAGCTCACTACAAACCCGTCCACGAGAGTGGTCCCCTTACTTGCAGTATGCTTTGCTGCCTCTGGGAGTCAATGCTGCGAGAGTAAGTAGATGTACATCCCAGGTCCTCACCAGAGGAGGCTAGCTCAGAGTCACATTCTACAGGTCCTCAGAGAGCGGTCAGCCTGACCAGGCCTCTGGGAGTCACGGCAACAGTAGTCTCTCTCTATGATGGTCCCCCTTTGGCTCTCTTGCTTTCTGTCACGTCGTTGCCCCCTCTCAGTGCTTACCAGAACTACCATCTAAGTAAAGCAGCTACCACACACATGCTTGTATCTGGAGGAAAACAAAAACAGTCATCCAAGAAAGAAATTCCAAGTCACTCCTGGGTATTGGGCAATGGCTTTTATGATGGCAGACAGGAGCTTTCCACACCACATGTTCCTCTCCAACAAGCGATTCAGGAACATCTGTCTCATCTACGGCCCAGTGAAAACATGCTGTGTATCACTGCCTCCTTGCAATATGTTTAGAGAAAGTCAATGGAAAGATTAAAGTTGCCCACAGAGTTCCATGGGAAGAGGCAACAGGAGGCACTGAGACGGGAATGAGAACGCCTTAGAGTGAACAAGAGTTGGTGCCTGGAAATATGTGGTGCCCAGAGAACTCAGATACAAACAATAGTGACACAGGGTTTCTCCTCAGGGCTTAGGGAAGTGGCTCTGACCATGTACATTCAATATCAAGGAAAATGGTGATCAAAGCAGATGGAAGACTTGAGAATACGGCCCATGTGGTCTTCATAGTCATCCGTCTTTGGAACTTCCTTCTCCAGGGTGGAGTGAGGTCAGAGAGACACATAACGTGAGTTCACTCCCTGGAGGGTGATGGCTGGCATGTGGCCTGAATGAAAGAGGCCGTAGGATATGACAGTTTGGAGGAGGCTGGGTAGCCTTTAGTGGGTAACCTGGACTGGGCTGGTTGGGAGTGCAGGGATGGGAGATGTTGACAGTTACTCTGAACTCTAAGGACCAGGATGATGTGCACATGTGAGACTGTGAGATAGAGGCAGTCCAGGGACACAATAGTGTGAATGCACTAAAATGAATTTTGTACCTCATATTTTTAAATAAATGTATTAATTTTACATAGTAGTAAATGAATGCAAGAACAAAATTGATTTTAATTGAAAAAATGTGCATGTTGTATTCAGAAAAACAAACTTAGGAGCCACAATATGATTAATTATTTCATAAACTTAAGGCATTATGCTTTAGTGAATTAGTCTAACTGGATATTTATTAGCATGAACATTGATGTCAAAGTGAAAACTGCTGAATGCAAGCTATCTGTTTGACACTCAAGGTGCTTCTTCCTCCTCCATCTTGAGAGAGCTTACAGTCACAACCCCTGGTCAGTTTGTTTAGCCTTTTCTATCTGTAGCTCTAATAATTCAATCTCCAGAGACAGTTTGTATAACTCCAGTGCCATTTTCACATCATCTGGATTTGGCAGACATCGCATGAACCTCTTGCCTGCAAACACATGCTCACAGTCTTTCTCCTGAAAGAGAGGTAGGTTTGGGTAGCAGTGAGTGGCTTTGGATGATCGTCAAGAAATAGAGCAACATTATATAATATGGTGTAGAAAAATAGGAGGCAGTACTCCTAGGTCTATGGAACTTCACTCTTTATGGGATTCAGTATTTCATGCCCTCAAATGAAAATAGGAAAATGTGTTGTGCCAACTTACCAAATGACCGTGAGGGAGAAACAGGTTATCTGAATGACATAGAAATGATTTGCAACAAGTCACACGGCAGCACTATTGGCTGGGAAAACCATTTTAGTGTTTGATGGCACAGAACTTGTGATTTGTGTCACTTACCAGCGCACATCTGGGCACCTCTGGGTACCAGGTTCCATTCTCTGAACAAGTGATACTTTGGGAACCTAACATGGCAAACCCAGAGTCACACTGGATGGTGACATTTTCAGATTCAATGTACTGGTCTTTATTGGCAGACAGCAATCCATTTTTTATCTCTGGTTTCTGGCATAGAGCTATAAAGAAAACACGTGTTAGACAATTATGATCTGAGGGAAAAGACGTGACAGTCTGTAGTAATAAGAATGAACTGAACTTGCATGTAGTTTATTCTTCTTTCCATTCCTTTTGTTAGCAAAACGTTGATGAGTGTTTTGTTGAGCATGACAGTCTATGTATACAATGTGACTTTTTGACTTGAGTCTCATAGTTCTCCTGCTAAGTGAGTCTATTGTTTTCCTGTTTTATGAAGAAGAAAACTCAAATACAGAGAATGTAAAAAATGTTTCCATGACTATAATGTGTTTAAATAACATGACAGGATATTTGTAAAAGTATATATGACCCCAGATTCTCCCTTTATACATTAACTTTTACTATAAATAGTTCTTCAAGACCCCAATCATGTAGTTTTGATATTCTTCTGTGAGCAGTGGGGACAATTATATCAAATAAATTATGAATTACTATTAATATATTTATACTAATATTACATGAACATAAGATAAGAATAACTAGCCCTGACTCCTCCTGCTCCCTATAACTAATTGGCACAGTGTTTTCTCAGCACATTACATCTACAGCATGGTAGGTAGTACCTTGACAGAAGTTCTGATGGCAAAACTTATAACTCCAATGTTTGGAATTAGCCCAACAGAGACTATACTGATGGCAGAACAAGTTTTGTTGAAAAAATTTTTACAGGCCAACAGGTGTCTTTATAAAATGTTTCGCTTCTACAATATTTCTTAAAATATATATAAGAAACCGAGACTATGAGCTGTCTCAAGAAGGCTGATGCTTGTGATTGTGACAAAGAAGTAGAAGGAAGTTATACTGTGCATTTTGTGTGTGTGGTTTTGTGTGGAATATCATCCGTTTATATGAGTTATTTAAAAATAAACAAAATCGACTCTACCAGAGACCACACTGACCACAAGTAGTCTAGGTAGGCTGCCCTCCTCCAAATTCCCTGACTATCTCAGCATTCCCCCACCCTATCCCCAGTCCAGCACCCTCCTAACCACCTTGCCACAGCCTCCAACTGGAGTAGAGACTCCCCTCTCTACCAGAGACCATACAGACTGAAGTAAGAAGTCCAGGTAAGCTAGCTGCCTGCCAGCCAAACTCCCCTACTCTCTAACATTCTTGGTATCTTACCAGTCTAACCCCAATCTTGAGCCTTCCTAATTGCTATGTTCCATCCTGAAACTGGTGCTGAAATTCCCTGCTCTACCAGAGAATATACTTCCTGCCAGAAGTCCAGCCCCCAACTCCAGGGGGAACCCCTGCTCAACCACAGGCTACACCTACTAGAAGAGCAGAGAGGAAATAGAAACCAAGGAAAACGCACCCATCCAACAAGGACTAACTCAGAGTTTGACACGTACACCTACCTTCACCCCAAATTAGATGCCTAGATGTAAGAAAACAATCAACAATAGCCAAGGCACTATGTCATGACCAGAGCCCAGCATCATATTACAGCAAGCCCTAAGTACTCCAACACAGCTTAAGCACAAGGAAAAATACCCTAAAACTAATTTTATGAAGATGATTGAGGTCTTTAAAGAAGAAATGAATAAATCCCTTAAAGAAATCCAGGAAAACACAAACAAACAGTTCAAGGAAATGAATAAAACTGTTCAAGACCTGAAAATGGAAATGGAAGCAATAAAAAAAATAGAAACTGAGGGAATTCTGGAAATGAAGAATCTAGGTAAGTAAACAGGAACCACAGATGCGAGCATCACCAAAAAACTATAAGAAATGGAAGAAAGAATCTCAGGCATAGAATATACAATAGAAGAAATGGATACATTGATAAAAGAAAATGTTAAATCTAAAAAGTTTCTGATACAAAACATCCAGAAAATCTGGGACACTAAGAAAAGACCAAGCCTAAGAATAATAAAAATAGAAAAAGAAGAATCCAAGCTCAAGGGCACAAAAAATATTTTCAACAAAATCACAGAAGAAAACTTTTCTAATTTAAAGAAAGAGACACCTTCATAGGTACAACAAGCTTACAGAACACCAAATAGATTGGAACAGAAAAGGAAGTCCTCTCACCACATAATAAAACACTAAATATTTGGTACAAAGAAGGAATACTAAGAGTCGAGAGGAAAAAAATAGCAAGTAACATATAAAAGCAGATATAGTAGAATTACACTTGACTTCTCAATGGAGACTCTAAAAGTCAGAAGGACCTGGACAGATGTCCTGCAGACTCTAACAGAAGACAAATGCAAACCCATATTATTATACCCAGCAAAACTTTCAATCACCATAGGTGGAGAAAATAAGATATTCCATGATAAAGTCAAATCTAAATAATATCTATCCATAAACCCAGCCCTACAGAAGTTGCTAGAGGAAAACTCCAATACAAGGAGGATAACCACACACAAGAAAGTACAGGAAATAATCTCACACTAGCAAAACCAGAGAGAAATACAGACACACACATACACACTCACTCACTCACTTGCTCACTCATGCACCATCATCAACAACAGCAAAAAAATAAAAATCCAAACAAACAAAACAAAACCAAGGACTTAACAATCATTGGACATTGATATCTCTCAAAATCAATGGGCTCAACTCCCCAATAAAAAGACACAGACTAATAGAATCGGTGTGTAAAGAGGATCTACCCTTCTGTTGCATACACCTCGACATCAAAGATAGATATTTCCTCAGAGTAAAGGGCTGGAAAAAGATTTTTCAAGCAAATGGATCCAAGAAACAAGCTGGTGTAGACATTCTAATATCATTATAGCAAAATAAACTTCAAACCAAAATTAATCAAGAAGAAGAGGGAAGGATACACATCAAAGGAAAAATTCACCAAGATGATATTTCAGTTCTTAATATCTATGCCTTAAATGCAAGGGCACCCACATTTGTAAAAGAAATGTTGCTAAAGCTTAAATAGCACACAGATAGTGGGAGGCTTAAAGACACTACTCTCATCAACAGACAAGTCACCTAGACATAAACTAAACAGAAAAATACTGAAGCTAACATGTTATAAACAAAATGGGCCTAACAGATATCTACAAAACATTTTAGCCAAACACAAAAGAATATACCTTCTTCTCAGCACCTCATGAAACTTTCTCCAAAATTGACCACACACTCTGTCACAAAACAATTTTATCAGTTAGAAGAAAACTGAAGTAACCTCCTGTATCACATATCAGATCACCACAGATTAAAGCTGGATTTCAATAACAATATAAACAACAGAAAGCCTACAAACTCATGGAAACTGAACTCCTATTGAATGAGTTCAGGGTCAAGGCAGAAATAAAGAAAAAAATTAAATAGTTTCTAGAATTCAGTAAAAATGAATATACAACATACCCAAACTTATGGGACACAATGAAAGCTGTTCTAAAAAGGAAAATTCATAGCACTAAGTACCTGCATAAAGAAATTGGAGAGATCGCATTATCAACTTAACATACACTGAAAACTCTAGAACAAAAAGAAGCAAATGCACCCAAGAGGAGTAGATGGCAGGAAATAATCAAACCAAAGGCTGAAATCAATAAAATAGAAATAAGTAGAACAATACAAGGAATCAATGAAAAGAGTTGCTTCTTTGAGAAAATTAGGAGGACAGACAAACCCTTATCCAAACTACCTAAAAAATGGAAACAGGATATCCAAATTAACAAAATCAGAAACAAAACCGGGGCATAATAACAGACACCAAGGAAATTCAAAGAATCATAGGTCATACGTTTAAAACCTGTACTCCACAAAATTGATAAATCTTATCAGGAGCTGTGAGAGATACAGCAGGTAATAACTAGTGTTCAACAGGCCAACCTACCAGATGAGTGATTCTCTGATGGAGACCCCCACCTGGCAAGGTCATGGAGTTACTGATTGTGGAAACTAGTTGCTCCTGTCTGTAGTTTCTCTCATGAGTCACTTCATTTCTTCCCTAAGAACTTCATTTCTTTGCTAAGAATAGCTTTGAGTGTTTCCTCACTGTTTGTGTGCTTATCTCATGAAAATATTCCATCTGCTGGGCACATATATCTGTGAGTGGTCAGGAAGATGGCTTTCAATTTAGCTATACAATTTTGCTATATAGAATATATACTGGGACATGCTTCACAACCGAATCTATTTGTCCTACAAGAACTGTGAAAACTTAAGAGCTTGCCTTATTCTTTTGCTCAGACTAACTCCACACAGTTAGCTCACTTTCACCTCAGAGCAAGTTAAAAGTAGATTAAAGGCTTTTTGTAAATCAATCATAAAATTGAAACCTTACAGTTATGTACAAGGTAAGAGCCACAGATGTCCAACCAAGGTCATTAAGAAAAGCATGCCAATTCTTCACTTGCCAGTCTACTAACAATGGATCTCTGTCTCAAAAATTGTCATTAGGTACTATAACCACCCCACCCACCCCATATGTTTGTGGTCTTGTTCCAATAGCCTTGGGATCTTATGTTGCTACAGCAATGGCTCAGCTCCCTAATTGCTTATCCTAGGAATGTGCTCTTGATCAATGAGAAGGTGATTCTTGTAATTTCTCTTTATCACTTCAAGGCTCCTGTAGAAGAAGAGTGTTAGGAGGAGGAGGAGGAGGAGGAGGAGGAGGAGGAGGAGGAGGAGGAGGAGGAGGAGGAGGAGGAGGAGGAGGAGGAGGAGGAGGAGGAGGAGAAGAAGGAGGAGAAGAAGAAGAAGAAGAAGAAGAAGAAGAAGAAGAAGAAGAAGAAGAAACTAAGAGAAAGAGAAGTAGGACAGGATTATTAGAGTAAAAATAGAACAATAAAGAAACTGATGTGGGAAAGTATTTAGTGGAGAATTTATTTTGCTGGCAGCTGATGGGATAAGATGCAGAAACCCAGTCAAACATTAGGCAGAGGGCCCAAATTGAAGACCTTCTTAAGGCTCCCCCGTCTTTGTAGCTCTGTGAACGCTATGGAAGAGGTTGAGAAGAAGAGTAGGAGCCACAGGAGTCAGGGATACCAGGAGAATATGGCCCACAGTCTCTACTAAGTAGGGCTCATAGGTGCTCTAAGACTAAAGCAGCAATCATGGAGCCTGTGCTAGGTTCTCTGCATATATGTTTTAGTTGTTAGCTTGATATTTTTATGGGGCTCCTAACAGTGGAAGTAGAAGTGTCTCTCCCTTTCTTTTTCTGATCTTGAGACCCCTTTCCTCTTACTGAGCTGTGTCACCCAACCTTGATATGACAGTTTGTGCCTAGCCTTATCCAATTTTGTTATGCCAAGTACAGTGGATACTCCCGGGAGGCCTGCTCATTTCAGAAGGAAAATGGATAATGAATGGATCTGGGGTAGAGGTGAGGTAGGGTGAGAGGATGGGAGAGATGGAGAAAGGAAAAACTGAGGTTGGAATGTATTGAAAACAAAAAGTAAAGAAAAGAAAATCACATAATTACAAGAAAAAGCCAATCAAATGTTTTGTCCTTAATCTATCAGGGAATAACTTTGCTCTCCATTCTTGACAACAATTCTACCCATGTGGTATTAGGTAGAAAGGAGGGGGAAGCTACCTTTACATTGTGGAGGTGCTGGTGTCCATTGTGAATGCTTGCAGGAGATGCTTGCCTTTCCAACCAGTCTGTATCCTTTATCACATTCATATGTAGCCTCAGTTGGGAAGAATTTAGTAGTTTTTGTATAGTGTCCATGGGCAATGCTTGGAGGAAAATTACAACCTTGATGATAAAACACATGAGAGAGGATGAGACATGTACATGAAATGTGTCAAACAACACCTCCCCAGGATTTGTGCATCCTGAATGCTTCATTCTATCCTTCTTTCTTCCCTGCCTATGAGATCACTGGACCAAAGCCATGCACTTGAATGGCCTTTCTGGGCATCTCAGGCTCAGGAATTTGGAAGTCTCAGCTACCCACTGATATAATGTGGAAGCTCCTGAGTGACCTACAAGGTGTTGGAAACTTTACAAGGTGGGGCCTCATGAGAGGTTCTTAGGTCACTAGGGGCTTTCTCTTTATGGAGACTGTGTGTCTCTAGTTCTCTCATCTCTTACTTTCCTCGCTGCCTTATGATTGGGCAAATAGTTTTACTCCAACTTATACTCCTGCCATGATGTACCCCTTTACACGAGTCTAAATCAAGGGGGTCAATAGATGTCAATATCTTGACAATCTGGACATCCATAGCACATTACATTGATCCAATATATTAATGGTATCATGTTAATTCTAGTGATGAGCTTGAAATGCTAGCATGATGGAACTCCAATTTACAGATTATGAACAGTCCAAGACTTGACACACTGACAACTTTTTCCCCTTCAAGGTTCAGTAACTTTTAGGACATCCACTGAAGCAAAAGTCACATGATTGTCACTTGCAATCATACCATAAGGAAAAGGCTGAGCACCAAGCTCAGTTCTTTCAGATTCTAAAGGTGGCACAATCTATGCTTGGGAATGCCATGCATTGGTCTCTTGATAAAACTTCTATTCACACTATTACTTAAAGAAATTCTGGGGCTAGAGAGGTGGTTCAGTAGTTAAGATCACTGGCTGCTCTTCCATAGGACCAAGATTCAATTTCCAGCATCCACATAACATCTCACATTGTCTGTAACTTCAGTTATATGGGATATGACACCCTCAAACTGACAAACATGTAGGCAACACACCAAAGCAAATAAAATAAAAATAAATAAAAATTTAAAAATAAAGAAAGTAAACTCTCCCCTACAAAACATAGTTCTATAAGTTCTTACTCTGATCACATGATGGTGTTCTGGGATTCCATGTGCCATCTGATTTGCAAGTAGCTGAAAGGATGTGTTCTTCATGGCATACGTATGATAATGTGTCATCATAGAAATAAGTACAGTCATTCTCAGGATGTCGTTTTATATGTTGAACGACTCTAATATTATTTGGGTCTGGTTCTGGACAACATATCTCTAGAAAACAAAAATGGAGAATAAGGGTCAATGAAACCATCATGAAGAAGTTCTTACAGTTAATGACTCATTTTCTGCAACATTGAAGAGAAGTTTGGGGTACAGAAAAAGGAAACCCAAATGCCTGGTCTTGTGCCTTCTGTAGAATTTCTTTTAAAAACTTAAGTCCAGTCACTTCCTCAAATTAGACAATTTGGGGGGGATTTCAAATATGCATATAATGTGTTTTAATCAATTCAACTCCAATTCATTCACAACAGTTCCTCCCCTATTCCCTACACATCTTAATTTCATGTTTCTTTTTTAAAACACACTGAGTGCACTTAATGCTTCCAGTATGTGTACAGGTGTAGAGCCATCTGCTAAAGTATAAGCAGCCTATCAGAGGCTGCATCCTGCACAAAACAACAAAAAACTGACTCACCATTTCCAAATAGCCATCAATTACTAATAGCTCTGTCTTGTGTCTCTAAATATAAGCAGAAAGCAGTTGGTTACTCCCATAACATCTGTGCCTCGATTGCACCAGTGGGCACACCTTGCCAGGCCAGTGTTGCAACAGTTCATAGTTGGATAATATACTACTGATTACCTCCCCCCGCATCCTCCAGTAGTGTGCATATCACCTTGCAATACAATGAAAGATAGCCACTAGGGATAAAGCATCTAGATTGATATAAACTTGATTTCTCCACATTCTATGATTTAAGTATGAGTGATGGCAATAACCTATAATTGTTAAGGATCTTTGGTACCCCACTGACCAACACCAATTAAAGAAGTAACCATACCTGGCACTATGCTTTTTATTTGATAACCTATGGTGCCTGAGAGAGGCACTGTTGCCTGCACACATACCCCATTACATTAAAACTCTTTATATATGTGTATATGTGTGTTTTTAATGAAGATTATAAACTAATGGGGCTCCAAATGGCTTTTTTAAAAAAAGCCTTTAGTGTTATCTCTCCCCATACTTTCCTCTATCCTGCCCTCCTACCCGCCATCCCATTTAATCTTTCCTATTCCACTATGCCCAATTTTTCTCTTTATATAAACTGTATTTTTCTCCCTCCCATTGAAATACCATGCCATGGACCCTTACTATTTTACTAACTTCTATGGGTACTAAAATTTAAACACATATTTAAAGATACAAAGCCAGCATCCACACATGGAAGAGAACGTGCAGTGCTTGTCTTTCCAGTTCTAGGTTTCCTCACTCAGAATGATTTCAAGATTCACCTATTTACCTGAAAATGTCATTTTTTATAACAGGTGGATAATATTTCATTGTGTAGGCTTATCATATTTACATTATCCATCCATCAGTTGATGGACATTTAGGTTGTTTCTATTTCACAACAATTGTGCACAGAGCAGCAATGAACACAGACAAGCAATTATCTCTGTAGCAGGATTTGAGCTCTTTGAGTATATGCCCAAGAGTTGTATAGCTGGATCATATTGTAGCATATTGAGTAATTTCTGTAATGTGCATTTTTTCTGCAAGCTGCATGGGTCTCGCCGCTATCTTAGTCCCCAAATAACACACAGGACACTATATTAATTATGAAGCTGTTGGCCGTTTGCTATGGTTTCTTAATGGCTAGCTCTGACTTAATTATTAACCCATAATTACTAATCTATGTATATTTATAAGGACTTATCTTTCTAAGGATGCTCTCCTGATGTGTCCTCTCCTCCCAGGAGATCACATGATGACCCCCCCCTAAATTGCCTACATTTTCCAGAATCCTCCTTCTTTCCTAGTCCTACCAATCTTGCTTTCCTCTTGACCAACAGTGTTTTATTTATTAACCAATAAGAGAGACATATACACAGAAGGACTTCCCCCATAAAATTTCTACACTGATTTAAATAGCAGCTATACCAGCTTATACTCCAAGAATCAATGAGAAAGTATCCATTTTCCCCATGTTCACAGTAGCATTTGCTGTTATTCATTATTCCTAATCTTAACCATTCTGACTGTGGTAAAATGAAATCGCAAAGTAGTTTAATTTGCTTTAAGATTCCCTAAGGATTTTGAATATTCTAAAAAATAGTCGTCAGCCATTAGCATTTCTTCTTTTGAAACTGTGCTTAGTTCAATGTTCAAGTTTTTAATTGTGTTGTTTGTTTTCTATGTGTTCTGGTTAGTTTTTGTCAACTTCACACAAACCTAGACATCTCTGGAAAGAGGGCACCTGTTGTGGAATATTATTTTTACTCTGTAAAGATGTGTTACATTTGTTTAAGCTGTGGAATATTATTTTCATTATGTGAAAGTATGTTACATTTGTTTCTGCTGCCTTTATTAACGTAAAGGTGTGTTACACTTGTTTCTGCTGCCTTTATTAATGTAAAGGTGTGTTACACTTGTTTATGCTGCATTTGTTTAACTATATAAAGATGCGTTGCATTTGTTTCACCTTGTCTGCCTGAGGCGCATGATTGACCTAATAAAAAGCTGAATGTGCAATAGCTAGGCAGAAGGAATAGGTGGGGCTGGCAGGAAGAGAGAACAAGGAGGAGAAGAGAGGGGAACAAGAGAAGGAGGAGAGAATGAGGGAGAAAAAGAGGGGCATGCCCAGGGCCAGAAGCCAGGCAGCTGACAGACAGACATGAGAAGCAGGGAAAGTAAGATATACTGCTGTAGAATAATCCTTCTGAACACTGCGAAAATGTGTTGCTTTCGTTGTTAATAAAAATTTGACTAGCCAATAGCGAGGCAGGATTTTTCAGGGCAAAGAGAATGCTGGGAAGAAGGATGGAGTCTGAGGATTTGCAGGCTAGATATAAAAAGAAGCAACGTGTGAATTTCATAGATGAGGTAAATGAGCCTTGGGGCAGCAACAGAATAATAGAAATGGGTTGATTTAAGCTGTAAGAGCTGGCTGGAGACAAGCCTAAGCTATCAGCTGAGCATTTAACAATATCAATCTTCTTTGTGATTTTTGGGGAGTGGGATGATGGGAAAGAAAAGTCTGCCTACAATATACAGAAGGAAAGAAAGGTAAAAAAAACCTCTGAGGCAAAATACAGATGAAGAGAAACAGGTTAATTTATAAGAGCTAGCAAGAAAGGAGCCTAAACCAAGGCTAAGCATCCATAACTGATAAGTCTGTGTGCCATGATTTGGGATCTGGTTGGTGGCCCAAGAGAATGCCTCGTACATTTGATGTTCCAACATGGGCACAGATTTCCACACAGGGCCTGAGATAGCTGAAGGAAAAGAAAAGAAGTTGGTATACCAATAAAAACAGCAAGCTATGTAAAAATTCCTGCCAAAGGGCTGGCACTGGCACCCCATGGCTGGGGTGGTCAAATGATGTTGTTCACCATTAAAAAACACAACTCTTGGCCAGACCCACAGGACCTAACAGCACCTCTGCCATGGACCTGAGTAGGGGCAGGGGCAGCCACCAGAGCCACTGGTGGAGGGCGTAGCCAGCACTTAGCTGTTTAAAGTTTGGCTCACATGTCAGAGGACATGGCAAGAGCACAGTTGCAGGCATTTAGTTAAGCGGGTCCAGGAAGAGAAAACTTCTAAACAGGTTACAGTGTGTTTAAAAATGTGCTTAAGAAAAGGGATATAGACAGTCATAGAAAAATTAAATCCTTCAGAAATTGTAAAGTCTTTAAAGAAAGTAAAGTAATATTAAAAGGATAAGCCATGTAGAGATGAAAAATATACAGGCAGTCTGGATCCTGTATATTTGACTTACAAATTGACTTTGAATTTTTGAATATTGATGAGCAAATGATAGCTGCTGAGAGACATAGGACTGTAAGAGGGACTGATGAATTAAACCAACCTGGATACTTTAGGAATGCCTTAACTTTAAAATGGAAGTCAGAACATATATTGTGTTGGGGAAGAGGTTATATTTTTGTTTCCACAAGAATGGAAAGGCTATGTATTCATCAAGATTAATGGAGATCCGCTTTGATTGGGGGAGACTCACTGAAAATAAACCTAGAAAAACTACAAGTGACTTATATTTTACCTGCTTAAACATAAAACAAATCATCTTTGGCTGACCTGGATACAACACACAGTCCATACTTGTGTTAATGCAGATAAGTATGTTATCTTTGAAAGTTTGTGTGTTTTCAGAGCAAGGGGACCAAACACCAATAAAAACAGGTGGCCCAGGTGATGCAGCCTCTCAGAGTGCCTCTATTGCAGTATCAGTGTTATTCATACAGAACAGCTTCAAGGCTGCTGACTGAGATGGTCCAGCCTCACAGACTATTCTAGCCAGGATAGCAGATAAGTATTGTGCTATCTGGTTGCACAGAGACTGGACAACAAATGTTATAGCTAGTTTTCCCAGGGTTTGACCATTATCTCAATTTTCTCAGGTTCCCTAATGAGTATGTCATGGTATGAATGAATAAATTTATTTAAAGGAATAGATACACAAAGGAGAACCAATAAAAAACATAATGTCCACCACAATGAGACAGGTCTGCTCCTGGCAGCAACAATCTATTTCAGAAAGGATACTGGGCATCAAAGAACTTCCATATGGAATTTGCTTTCAATGTGATCAAGTTAGACATTTGGGCAAGAAACTGTCCTTGCTTCAATTGTTGACAATATACCATCCAAACTAGACACAAAGAAAAGTGATTGTCAAACTTTGCCAAAACAAGGCTGGACAGTCCTTCAAAATTCCTGCTTCACAGAAATGTTTGCCGAACATTCTAGGCCTGTAGGCCAAAGACTGGATGCTCAAATAAACCCTTTCCTCCTCAAGTTTGCTATTTGTCATAATGTTTATAACAGCAATAGAAAGCAAACTAGGGTGCTCAGTGTTTGGTTTTTTAGTTCTTAGTATATTCTAGACATTTACCCTCTGTCAGATGAATAGCTGTTAAAGTTATTTTCCCATTCTGTTGGCTGCTTCTTCATCCAAATTGGTGTCTTTTGCCATACAGCTTCTTAGTTTCATGAGGTCTCATTTGTCAGTTGTTGGAGTATGTTCAGA